ATGAAATCTGTGGATTTAAACAGGTTTCTACAGTGATCAGAGAAATGGGAAAGGACAATCTTATTACATTCCTCTAGTCCCAAAGGCCAAGATGTATCCATCAGGTCGTAATTTCTGACCATAAAACTTTGCTTGAATAAAATCCTGCATGTGACCTTCATACATATTGCTGCCCTACAAACCTCTGCTACTCTACAGCTGAATCCCATTTAGTTATGACTCACTGCCTTATTTACTTCACTGATCACAATAAGCTTTCAAAAGCCATTACGAAGGCTCAAGTTGGTGTCTAACCTGAATGACAAAAAGGTTGGTTTAAAAAAAAAAAAAGAAAGAAAAATAAGCTTCACATATATGTGATTGCAATAGGAAAATGTGTCAAAAAAGTGGATTTCAAAAGGCATCAGTCAAACCTATTTGTCATGTATTATAGGTAGGTTATAGAAGAAAACATTGCATTACTATAGAGTAGTAAAAATGTCATATTGTCAAAAAAAAAAAAAAAGGAGGTAGGAGAAAAAAGTAAGATAAAAAAAAATATCAGCACTGAATGAAAAGAAAGTGTTTGCCATGAGGTTTAAAATATCGCCAGTGGATCTCCAAGAACAATATACATCTTTGGACATGGGTCCTGCCGAGCTCTGACTACCCTCCAGATGCTGTGGATGCCCCGAGCACTGTAAACTCCTGCAGAGTTTGATCTATAACTCCTGGTGTGAAAGTGGAAATAGCAACATGAGGGCTGTAGAAACTGTGCTGCCCAAGGAGGCAGATTCACACAAACCAAATTATTACCTCTGGTTCAAGTTACCAAAGCTGCCCCTTCCCTCCCCTTGCCACAAAAATGCACAGGCTATTGCATATTTTATACTAGCCATTCAGCAAATGTGTGATCATATTATTAATGATAAATTAAGAATTGGAGGAAATGGCAGGCTTTGAACCAAAAAATTTAATCTTTAATTATTAGCGTATTGAAGTAAGCGCAAGAATAATAAAAGCAAGAGGAAGATGAGAGAACAGGATGATTGTCTGACAAACAAGAAAAACAGTGTTATATTTATTTCAATCAAATTTCCCAGTGAAAGGAAAAACAGTCCATTAGAAAAAAATATAGAAACAAGACTCTTACAAAAAATAATTTCAGTTTAAGTATATTTAGAACTCAAAACCTTTGGAAGGCCAATCCTACTCCTATTTAAATACTGCTGTAAATTGAAATCTCACAGGAAAAGAAGTAAAGTTTATACTAATATGTATTATTGCCAATAGTATGGATCTGGCACCATAATTCCTTGTTTCATAGTGCCAAATTACTGACTTGCTATCATGCAAAAACTGACTATCCCTACTTCCTTCAATAACTATACAGAGAAAACTTAAATTCCTGCTTTCCCTTTGTGGTACCCAACACAGGCACAGTATAAAAAGGCCAGCCACGATATTCTTCCTCTATCAGCAAGCACACAAATATTTTGAGACATTCATAGAAGAGTACTTTGAACATTATGAAGTGTTTTGTACTGAAGAAAGAAAGGTAGAGAGGGAAGAACATGCCGTGTTGGACATTTCCACAGGTGTGTGTTACTGTGACATCTCAGAGCTGGGCTGCAGCTTCCACGAGGTGCACCACCTACATGCTTCAGCCACCCTTCTCAGCCACTCTCTTCTTCTGCAAACGCTCCCCCTGTGGGTGTCAGGCTGGAGCTATGCACATCTGGCAATACACTTCACTGGTCTTCACTCTGACCTACCAACTGGGCTTATCCTGGACTTCCCTCCATGGGTTCCCACGCTACTCCATGATGTTGACATGGAAGCATGAATCACACAATAAAACATCTGCATCACACCCACTGTTGGCCCTTTCTGGCAGAACATGTACCAAAGGGAAGAACAGTTGCCCTAACTTAAAGAATTTTGCCTCTTATTTCTGTGCACTAAAACATGCCTATAAATTGCCCCTGAGGGCACTTTCAGTGATATTATGGGGCATGTCATTCACAGGTCTTCAGGGTAAAACCACTCAGCTTTGTTATAGTATCATCGCTCCAATCAGAACTGTTAATGAGATGCCCTAAGGTACAAATGGAAGACATTTAAGGGCACCACAATAATTTATAAAAACAGATTCAGAGGGAAGAACACAGTACCACACAGCAACTGATCCTCTTGTATTATTTATCTTTACATCCCAAAATCATTATGAAGTGTCTGAGTGTTTATGTTTAAATTGTTTGGGAGTTACTTGCTAATTTTGCTAACTTAATGAAATAAAAGAAATAGTGCATGCTATCCATTAGTGGACCACTATGAAAAAATAACTTTTTAAGTATTTCCTCCGTGTCTTGTTTTGTGAGGTTTTTGCTCATGTCTTGTTTTTTGAAATTCACAGTCCTAGGCAATTTTTTTAACCTTCTCTATTGACTAAAACAGGTAGGTTTAAACAAATTTAGACCCATTTAAAGTTATTGCTATAGGTTTAATGCTTTAAATTAGCATTTTACCAAGCATTAAAAGATGTTTTCTCACAGGTTCTTCTGTAGTTTAGATGATATGAAAAAAGTCAAAACATTAAAAAAAAACCCAGATATTGTGAACTAAAAGCAAAACGTCAAGTAGTTTATATAAAATAATTAAAACAAATAGTAGAATATAATAATAAATAAATAGTATAATTTTGTGAACATTAGGCTCTGCTTGATAGGAAAGTACCTCAGACTCAACATTTTTATGATTCCAAAGAAGGGCTCATGCTTGCATGAAAAAGGCAAGTTGGGAGATACTGAATGTCATGCACATTTAAAAACATGAGATTTAGCCTTGTTCTGGTATTTCTTTTAGAAACAGAAGACAAAAATGGCCTGAGTGTTTAAACGAACTTTTTCTCTGGAGCTTAGTACAGTGCATTTTTGCTAAGTGTTTGTCCCAGCTATAAACAATGTAATATGTGACAAAAGTTAGAGTGGTACCCTTTCCTGCTACTAACACTTGTAAGAAATGCAATTGAGAGCAAGAGACAAGTGATATAAAGATAGAGAGCAAAGAAGAAAGGTAGGAAACTGGTGCAAAGTAATTGTAACATTATACTGCAGCTTATGCCTTTGTTCAGTTAAATCAAAAGAAAATAGGTTAACTGCGGTAAAGTAATTCAAAAAGCAAAATTTCACAGATACACACATGCAAAAGACAGAACCTTTGTTTTTCACTCAAATTATTCCAAACAAAACACAGGGCACTTACAAGATAGTGAATATGATGCTTGCTAGGCGTGTAGCTGTATTTGACCATGTATTTACAAAAACCAGTTTTTAATGGAAAGTAATTTCTTGAATTCTTCAATATCATAACAGACCTTTCACCCCCACACAGATGATAATGAAATTTATGTCAAACCTACTCCATTCACATTTCAAATGTTGACCATACCAAGATATTTTCAACAATGACAAATATAACTTTTGCACAAAATAAGTAATTGAATATTGAAGTATCAGGCTATGAAGTCCTTTGGAATGTTCTACTTTACTGGACACTCCTACTTTCTTTAAGTTAGAAGTAAAAAAGATGCTAAAAACACCATTTTGTGGAATAATCTGCAACTAGTCTACCACAATGATAAAGGAAATTAATTGCTAAGTTTCAGTGTTAATCAATGCTAAGCACATGGCATCAGATGCCATTATCTCTCCTGGATGAATTGAAAAAAAAAAACAAAACAAAAAAACCCACAAAACCCAACAAACCTTAAATAGCAACAGTGCAGAAAGTATCTTTAAAAAGTTTAGTTCACTTTTCCCCTCTGAATTCTAAAAGTATCAGATAGTTTCAATTTTCATATTAGCCTTTTCAGACTGAAAGAGACTGAATTGATTCTAAGTGGAATACTTCCAAAATTACGTTTTTTTCGGCATCAGCCTCATCAAGCACAGACTGCAACCGTTCCCATTAGACAGGTCTATCCACTTGTACAGTTTAACAGAACAAAATAATTACTGAATTCTCAAAAATTAAGAAAGTCATTGATAAAAAACACTGTCATATAAGCATTATAACCCTTCTCATTAGCATTGTCTTGTCAACAGTCTTTTGAAGTCAAACTGGTATCAATCTCTGATTTCACAAATAGTGGAGTAACTATATGCATATTTTCCTTAAATCTCAAGTGTCAATATAGAGCCAATAAGGACATGGAAAATCACCAAAATTTTGTTTTGTTGTTAAGAAAAGTCTAATAATATACCTACATTAAGCATCTTTTGCATCTCAGACAGAAGTTAGTATGTTGGAACAGCAAAGAAATAACAAATGTTTACAAACCAAATTTGAACCCATACTTCTAAAGACTTCTCACAGCTGTCTTTCCAGACAACTGCTTGGTCACACCAGTGATTTACTAATCCAGTTCAGAGGGATTTCAAATATTCTGTTATCATCCTACATCCTATCATCACAGGAGCCCAAAGCAACATTGTCACCCCTTGTCCAATAATTGGGGAATGACAAAGGACAGACTGAGTACAAAATCATATAAGACACAGGCAACTTTCTGAGTGATCAGATTATCTCTAATCCCTCCTTTAAAATTGGTAACTTTTTCAGGTGTGTGGGCTGAAAAGGTTATCCACACAACGACTTTTGTTTTCCAAATAAGTGCCATTAACTGCATGACATTAAACCAAAAAGTAGTAGGAAGAAGTCATTGGCTTGACAATAACTACTAAGAGGCCTGCAAGAAGGGAAAGATGTAGGCAAAAAGACTTCTTTCCCACATTCCAACAGCCTATACTTACGAAACGGATAAATGACTTTATAGCTTTAAGTCACTAGACCTACACAGACCAAAGCAGCTAAATCCAAAATTAAATGCAATATTTTATATTTCATAGAAAAATAAGCCAACAACAATTACAAATTCTCACAAAACTAGGAAGCTATCAGGGTAGTATTTTGCAAGTCACTGCAGAAACAACAACAGGAAATCTCTTTAGTTGTCCTACCTTCTTGAACCGCCTGAAAAGGATTGTTGCCATCCACAAACGTCACTGAACATGTGATTTTCTCTGTTTGTAAGATTTCATCATTCTGGTTGAGATCAGCAACTGCCATTCGAAACACTTCCTCATCTTTTTTGGCAGATTCATCAAAAATTGCCCCTGTGAGGGAAAAAAAAAAAAAGACCAAAATCACATTGCACCTTTCACCTGCAGTATCCCAATGGATTAATCATAAGCACTTAAGATATTTTATGCTACAACATGATCCCTTCACTCACTCCTGAAGAGCAGTTATCTCAACACAAAGCCCAGAAGCTACTTCACAATATACAGAATTTCTTCATTTTGACATACTTTAAAACATAAATTGAAGGGAAACATTTATATCATGCAAGACTAAGCCTAAAATGGTAGCAGCACTGGGAAAATGATGTAGAATTGACACCCATGATCAACAGACAGGTCAGCCATCAATGTAAACTATTGGATTTGTAAAACAACTTTGAGTCAACTCAAAGTCAGTAAGTTAAGTTTAAATGGTTAATTAAAATAAGTTCCGCCTTTATAAATCTGACAGAAAGTGACTGTTCTGCCTATTTCTCCACAGCATTTAAGCAGAACATTGTAAACATGGAACAATTGAGAGTGCCCAACCCTCAGACAACCAATTCTTCAGGTGTCTTGAAAAGAACTCCAAGACTTATCCAGAGATTTTTGCTCTTTTTAAATCTTTCTTTAAACTATAGTGTCACTTTTAGCATTATTAGTTGCCTATTATTTTACATTTGCTTCTTGTATGAATTATTTATGTAGAGATGGCTCAAATTACACTCTTACAGTCTCATGAAGAATGCTAGATTGTTTAAAACCTTAAAATCAAGGCTATTAAATTTTCAAGCACCTCTAATGCTTTCATTTTCAGGTAGTAGATTAAAGACACAGAAGGGATGCTTCAAAAACAGACTTTTGAAAACTGTGATTTATTCTTGAGTGTCTGTTGTCAGTACAAAACTCAACTAAGGCAGTGTACGTGTTGAGGCAGACAAAGATAACAGAAAATGCTGATCACTGATGATTTCAGATAAACACCTGCAATCAGTGCTGAAAAGAACTACAAAAGATTCATTTACAGGAAATGGTTACTTTAAGACAAATAAACTTCATACACAGTGTTTACTGTGCTTTTCCCACTGACCTCTGACACTCATTTCCCTGCCAGCACCACTCATCCTTCATGAGCATCATCTCTTCCTACAATCTGACCGCTTTGACTCCAGCATTTTCCCTCCTGAAGCTGCTACCATCTGGAACAGCTGTTCTTTACCTCTCCACCTCATTCACCTGTCATCTCTGTGCAAATCTCAGCTGAAAACATTCATTTTTCTCTCATGTCCCCATTTCAATTTCCCTTGTTTTATTTAGCTCCATAAAGCAAAGCTGCACATGGCAGAGAATACGCTTGGTAATCAAGATGCTGCAAACTGTGTCTTCTCCACAAAGACGGCTATTTGTGTATCCATGTAGTAGTTAAGGGTACAAGAGACTTTATCCAATACATAACTTAAAACATGTTTCTAACCTCATGGAACTCAAATCAAACCCACACATTTTGGAGTTACACCTATACTGATGATAGTGACCTAGACCAGCAAACATTTGAAGGAACAAATTTACGTGGCTACTAAGCACAAAGGGTAAAATTAAGAAAAAAAAATTGGAAAATAATTAGAGTAATTAGTCTATCTCTGTAGACTAATTCTGTAACAAATGCTATACTGTAAAGAAATGAACATGCACAGATTTCATGCACATGCACAGGGCAGCTGTCGACCGTGTTGCAGAACAGCATGGCAAAACAAAGACTTTCCAGACAACACTGCAGAGAACAGCTTCTTATTCCACAGATGGGAAGTGTCATCTTAAGCATGGCTTTGTCCCCAAAATAATTCAGGTCATTTATTGAGTAGAGGATATAGAAAAGTCTCAGGTATCTAGTTTTCTTTTCCATATGTCATCACAAAAATCCCCTTCTACCCCATAGCCCTTCCACTGGCCAGCAGATGGCAGCTCCCAAAATGATGTCGGACTGGGGAATGCATTAAGTTTCTCAACAGATGAACCTTCTTGAGAATCTTTCTGTTTCTTTCACACACAGATATTCCTAATAAATACCTATGTTTTTTTCTCCCATTTCTCAGCCTGAAACAAATCCTATCTCTAACAGCATCTGAATGTATAAGGAACTGGATTAGATGAAACTCCATGCTGTCTTCACACTCTCTCTCACTTTAGTACAATTTCTCCACTTTTGCTCTGATCACTGCTTATTTCATTTACGGCTCCATGTTTCAGATGCCAATTTCAAAATATCTTCTATTACCAATACTGTATCTGACATTTCAAAGAAAATACCTTACACAAACACTGTTACACATGCTCTAGTGTAGGAGTATCTGCATAGGTAAAACAAATAAATATATAGGTGAATTGCAAAAAAAAAAAGTTCTAATCATAGGTCCTGCCTGAGTATCCTAGCAGGAATTAGATTGTCTTCTGTCAGAAACTCAGGCTTTATTCATTAGAGTATCTAATTTGGCTACACAAAAAGCCTTTTAAGATATAATAAAGATTACACTGTTCCTTTCAGGAGATGGCAGTGCATAGCAACACATGCATTACACTTCAAACAGTGATAGGATAAATTCTTTACATAATTGATTCTCAAATTTTAATTTCAGTTGTTAAATAAAATTGGAAAACCAAAACCAAAAGAAAACCAGGGCAAAAAACCTCCCTGATTGATTTTCAAATTTTCCCTTTTTTCATATATAAAATTTTATGTCCCTCTTTCAGCCGCATTCCATGTCTCTAAATTACAGGGCTCGGAGGAAGGGACATTATTTTTGGTTTTTTTTCCTAAAAGAAAAACCATTTCAATGAAAAGCTGAAAAGCATTGTTTGGATTGTGCTAACACTGCCAGAATATTTTCCTTTCATTGTGGTCTCAGGAACTATCCTCTGATTGACGGGAGTGATCTTTCTAATCTGAAATAGGCATATCAACATTTTTACATCTAGCTCAATACACAGCCTTTAACTAAAGCTTAACTTTAACACTATGTATGAGGTATGATTTTCTCTTGTTGTTGAGGCCTGAAATCACACTGAAGTTTTTATGTGTATTCTTTTAAATACAGTCATTTAACCAAGTCAAACAACCCCAAATAAAGGGTATCAGACTCAAACATTATTTCCACAGTGAGACCTATATGCTTTCTCATATCTTCATGTAGAGCTGCAAACTTATTTGGAGTACTCGCCTAAAAGGAACCCTTCTGGCTATAAGAAAAATTGTTTCAGAAAGTAATAAACGGCTGAGGAGAAAAAGCAAATTATTCCTACATGTACTGTAAGACACTCGCTGTCTAGAAAAACGATGCAACACTATTTAGAAAGGAAGAAATTTTTCAAAATTATACAAAAGTAGATGTTGTTCATTTCGCTTCCACCCCCACTGCTCACCTCAGCTGGAACTGGCCTCACACTAAACATGTCATTTCTAACTATAATCAAGGAGGATTCCTATGATTGCATCAGGAGCCGACACGCTGACACAGCAACTACTCTGCAACAGTTTCCCCCTCCTGTTTTATTAGCATGTCATTACTTTCAGTTTTATTTCAGAATCTGGATGAGGACAGCACAAACGTAATTCTCTACTGGCTTTTTAAAAAACCCTCAGCACATCAATAACGTCCTGTGGCTTAGCAGAGAATTCTTTGCATTTAGCTATCTCATTTGCACTCAGCCATGTTATCAGAAATCTGTCGATTTAAGTTAAAATAGGCCAAATCAGACAAATGTTCAATAAGTTCAAATACTAATAACATCATTGAAAAGGCTTTTCAAAGATCCCTTGGTCTACTGACCCATACACACAAAAAATAGAATCCAAATTAGATGTCAGTTATTTCTAGAGTGATTTCCACAGTCTAGTGGAATCAGCCCAGAAAATGTAAAAATGGGAGAGAAATGCGTCATGACTGCAAGGATGAAGCGAGAAAAGATTTAAACTAATGTTCATCTTTCTATTGACTAAGAAAGGACAAAGTTCACTGCTTCCAGTGTTCTCAAGTATTATAATTTTATTACCTATGAAAGTATGACATTTCTGGACCTCAGTGCCCCATATTAGTCTCAGAAAATTAAGTACCTCATTTCAAAGGGGAGGAAGAGTACATGGATTAAATGCCATTGTGAATTGAGGTCACAGTTCAGTTTCAGCACGTGTTTGATTTTCACTTTCTAACATTGCACACACATACCTCACCAATAAAAGCCATATGCACTTTACCCAGTTATTTCCTAGTTCACAAGACCAGGAATTTTTTGAGAGAAAAGGAAGAAATTGGGGAAGTGTATATGTAGGAACTTTTTGAGGCACTATCTCATATTCTCAGCAGCTGCTGATACTATGAAAATTCTTTGTCCCACTGATATTGCCAACCTGTTCCAGTGACTGAATACAATTCCACTGTATTTTCCCAACTGCAGCTACTGAATTATTATTCTGAATGAGAAGCCTTACACAGCAGCTGGGAGAAGGGTGGCCATGCTGTTAATGCTCAGAATTGGAAGCTGAGAGTTTTGACTTCTCATGGCAAATCTCATCTGAGATGTCCTTCAGATCCATGAGCAGATTGCCACAGGTATAGCTCCCCTGTATGAAATAATGTTAGGAGACTAATTTCTGGGTGCCTAAATCACTAAGATTGGTATCTGAGATCCTCAGATACATTGTAGAGTAAAATCTCATGTTATTTCCAGGTCATGTGAGTGTCTGCTTGGGGAAATTTGTATAAAATCCATTCATTTTTAACTATAATGGCAAATGCCTAGCTCTACCACATACTATGATATCTGATTTAATGAATATATGCGTATATAACAGGGACTTGACGTGTTTGAGAGAGAGGTTGCCCTAATATAGGAATTTAGTAAGTCACACATAGGTCACATGACCTTCCCTTGCTCATGCAGTTCCCATTACCATGGTATTCACTATGCACTAAAACAGTTGGACCTTAAATTTCATTGTGACACATTTAGAGCTGCTGTTAAGTTTCTCTGTTGACTGATAGGCAGTTGAGTACGTACAG